CGGAGACTGCAACATGTTGATCGAATGGATATATTCTCATCCTTCATATTATTATTATTATTATTATTATTATTAACATCTTTATTGACAAAATCAATTACAATTTTGCCTAATCTGAGGATTTCAATTAAGTCTTACTAAAGTGAGGATAATGCTGGTATTCACTGTCACACAGGCCAGAGGGTCACACACACAAGACAATAGGTCTAAACTGTAGGCTGCACATATATATCATGGTTACAAACAATGTTTTAATGTATGAATATATAAAATCAACTTTCTATTGTGCACTGCCACCCAAGGGCACGGATGGGTTCATAAGTGACGCAACTTAAAAATAGTATAAATAAAATTGTTCTTAGGACGAAATGGATTAACAGCTGCACACAGATGCAGACTCCGTCGACTCTCCCAGTCCTGCGGTGCTCTGTGGCATCAAGTCCGGTGCAGCAAATCTGTAAGCATTATACAAAACACACATTTGGTCTACTCTTAAGACTTAAGCAAAGGTTTCAAATCTATTGGGTTATCCCTCGAGAGGTGTGGGAGAACGACCAGTTCCTCCAGTGTTAAAAAAACACCATTGTAATAAAAGGTAATTCATGACATTATTGACAGTCATTAATATTTCCAGATTTTCCGAGTGATTTTTGCGAAAGTTTGGCTGAGCTTAGAACTCGGAGGCTGAGTGTACAACTCATTGACTTTGTTAACTTTGATTTACGCAATAATTAACTTTCGTAACATGTTGCTATGTTCATTGTATAAATAAAATTATCATTTTTTTATATGAATAGAGATGGGGGGCACTCTGAAGTAATTTAATAATTCTAGGAATATAAGGTAAAGACTGAAGGTAAAGACTGTGATCAGGGTAATAAAGACTGAGCTGAACCACTTTGTATACGCAAGTGATTCTGACACTGTTTAGTATGTTGTTGTCCATGTTTGCTACTCATGTCTATCATAATGTGAGAGGCGTGAATAGTGGTGGCTGTTGGGGGGGGTGAATAGTGGTGGCTGTTGGGGGGCGTGAATAGTGGTGGCTGTTGGGGGGCGTGAATAGTGGTGGCTGTTGGGGGGCGTGAATAGTGGTGGCTGTTGGGGGGCGTGAATAGTGGTGGCTGTTGGGGGGCGTGAATAGTGGTGGCTGTTGGGGGGCGTGAATAGTGGTGGCTGTTGGGGGGCGTGAATAGTGGTGGCTGTTGGGGGGCGTGAATAGTGGTGGTTGTTGAGGCATTCGTGATAACTAACGGGTCAATGATACTGTCTGGTACTTCGGGTATCAATTAGAGATCACTGAAAAGAACAGTAAGCTAGTGCCAGACAACTTCCGTGAGTGCCAGACAACTTCCGTGAGTGCCAAACTTCAGAAGCGGTGCCAGCGTAACCTCAATAATGATGCGCCAAGCTTTGATGATGGTGTTAAAAACATTTAAATGATAGTGACAGTAACTTCAATGACACTACATTACTTAGATAACTTTAATTCTATCTTCTTTAATTCTCTAACTTGTATTATAGGCCCAGAGAATGACTTGAATGATTGACTTGAAAATTTATGCCTGGAGTATGACTGGAGTATGACTGGAGTATATCTGGAATGATTCCTGGGAGTTCTACTACTAGCCAAACCCGCCCTGGGGCCAAGATTATCTTGTGATAGCTTGATCAAACAGACTCGCCATAATATTAAGACTACAAATCAGCTGGGACTCCGAGGAGATTCGAACCCGTGAGCATGAGAATCCCAGGTGCTGACGCTTACCACTACACCATCTTGACGATAAAAGTCATACAACCGGATTTCGACTTCCTGTGATTTCAGTAGAAATCCGGTTGAATGACGTTTTAGCAAGTCAGGGTGGTCAAGTGGTTAAGTGTCAGTGGCTGGGATTCTCTCGGACGCTCGTTCGAGTCACGTAGCTGAGAGCACCAGCTGATTTTCCAGCGGTCCTCATAAACAAAGACCCAAAGTCCATTCCAAGCACCCGCCAACCCCCTATTTATGAATGAAAAACGGTTTACACACGACTCAACTGATGACATCCGAACACTTCCGGAACAAGTGTTTCACTGGCGACTTTTGTTCGAATCACTCACACACACACACACACTCGCGCGCGCGCACACACTCGCGCACACTCGCGCGCACACTCGCGCGCGCACTCACACACACTCACACACACACACACACACACACACACACACACACACACACACACACACACACACACACACACACACACACACACACACACACACACACACTCACACACACACACACACACACACACACACACACACACACACCACACACACACACACACAGTGAAATCTATGATGGAGTATGGTACCCCAGCATGGAACTCCTACCTAAACAAAACAAATCCAGAGAAGGTGCAAAAATTATGCAACGAGGCGTGTTCCTGAGCTAAGGGGGTTGAGCTATAAAGACAGACTTGAGGGAATTGGTCCTCGCTACACTGGAGGAAAGAAGAAATAGGTCAAACATCAAAAGGACATACAAGATACTAAGGGAGATTGACAAATTAGATATAGAAGCAATGTTCAAATTAAGGAACAGTATAACGAGAGGACATAATTGACAACTGGAAACACAGACGAGTCACATGTCAGAACTTTTTTTTTAGAGAGATTAAGAGAATTTAGAGATTTAGAGAAAGAACTAAGATTCTTAAGTATATGGAACGAAGATAAGGAAGTTATCAAAGGCAATCCGACACACAGCATTAAATGTAAACATAACGAGAAAGGTGTTACGGTAACACCTACAGCAGTGCTGTAGGGATTACAGCAGTGCTGTAGGGATTACAGCACCGCTGTAATTACACCCTACAGCGGTGCTGTAAGGTGCTGTGTTTGGATTCCTCACCCCTGAGACGTCGACGTGAGCGTGAAGTCAATTTTGCTAACAGATTCACGTGGCTTGACTACCGTCCCTCCTCCCCCCCACCCTTTCCCCCATGTCCCAAACACTGGTCCTCCGGTCGCGGGACAGTCTCTGGAAGTGTCAGTAGTCCTCCAAATTGTTCTAACTTTAACCCATGCTTCAAAAGCGACAGTACTTATCTATATCTACAAGAGAGAATGTTGGTGCCTGTCTGTGCAAAGTTGGGGGACCAGATGCCTAAGGCTAGTCCGACCCAACTTTGCAGGAAGAATGGCCTGGGGTATGGGATTGACATAGGCTAATTGGGGGTCGCCAAAACTGGAGAGAAAACAGCGTGCCAGGGAGTCACATTCTGACCCTCGCAACGATTATTGACACTGTCCACCAGCTACACTAAGCTAAATATTTTGAAAATAAAAACTTCAAAATATATATTTTCTTAGTGCTGTAGTATGAACCGTTATTCACTGATCTCAGGAATATTAACATAATTCTTCTGTTATTCAAACTTTGGCCATAGTAGCATAAAACAGACGATCTTCCCGTAGCTTCAAATACTTCCTAAACCCTCCGCTCCATTCTCAAAGCAAACGGGGTAACTATTATATGTTTTAATATTTCACCCCACTTGGCTCCTTCCACCAGCAGACCACCAACACGCCAATGATTAACTACTGTATTTTTACAAGAGACAGATAAATCAGTGAAAGAGAGACAGAATGAGAGACACAGACGGAAACACATACACAGATAGGCCTCCAAAGACTGGGACGACCAGGGTACAGAGAGAGAGAGAGAGAGAGAGAGAGAGAGAGAGAGAGAGAGAGAGAGAGAGAGAGA